CTTTTGAAAAGCCCCTAAGGATGGGAGCTATTCTCCAGGAGAATAAGCAACTGTGATTAGAATCCCTCCCCCCAACACACACACATGCACCTTTGGGGAGGGGAGAGGGCTGGAGGCTGAAAATCACCAACTGCCAGTGCTTAGTCAACCATGCCTATGTAATGAAACATATAAAAATCCAAAAGGATGGGGTTCAGAGAGCTTCGAGATTGATGGAGAACACATCCACATGCTGGGAGGGCTCACCCCAAACTCCAAAGGGACAGAAACTCCTGTGCTCAGGACCCTTCTGGACTTCACCCTATGTATCTCTTCATCTGATATCCTTTAATATCCTTTGTAATAAACCAGTAATCTAGTAAGTAAGCTGTTTTCTTGAGTTCTGAGAGCTGCTCCACTATTTGATCAAATCCAAAGAGGGCATAGTGGGAATCTCCTATTTATAGCCAGTAGTCAAAAGTACAGGTGACAACCTGAACTTGAAACTGGCATCTGTGGGGAGGGGGGCACTCTTGTGGGACTGAACCCTAACCTGTGGTATCTGACGCTATCTCCAGGTAGATCATGTTAGAAGAGAATTAAACTGTAGAATACCCAGATGGTATCACAGAATCACTTGGTGTGGGAAAACTACTACACACCTGGTGACCAGAAGTGTGCAAAGTGAAGTACAGTACTGGGAATGGAGGAGACATACGGCACAGTGTTTTTCCATTAGAGATGTACTCTGAAAACCATGTTAAGATCATTTAAAAATGGATTCAGATAATGAAAAAAACATGGATGTAGAAGATACATTATGAAATGAAATTGCTTCATGAATGTGAGGGTGCAAGAAAGTCAGTACTATTATATTATTTCATATAAAACATGATCTGTAAATACGTTGGTAGATAAACCATTTTAAAAAGGTATATAATCCTTTTCATTTTTTTGGTCTTCTCATTGGAAATTAAGGACCCACCTTATACACACATGATTATATGCTTTACAAACCACTTCACTTCTCCCTAGAACACAGTTTATTGGACTTTGGTATAAAGTATTTGTTTTAATTCTTTAAAAAAGGGTCATTAAGAACCATATTAAGGAAACCTTTCCTTTTGATTTCTAAGTTTATTATTTTCCCTTTTAGTTTTATGGCAACCATAGCTGGCTTTGAAAAATGTAAACATATAGTCAGTCTCGTTGAAACAAATACCATCATCACAAAATCTTTTTATAATAAAATATTACAAGCAAGCTTAGTTTGGACTAATAGTACAAACGAATTTAGGTAAATGTCTGGAAATGGTTTTAACAAGACATGACATTTATTTCTAATTGGCTAATAAGAAAAGACCAACACAATATCAAAACATGCAAATTAAATGTGTCTCTGACTGAAATAAATCAAGATTGAGTTCAAGAAAATGAGATCAGGTACTTAAAAATTAGTATGTTTTCCATGGTTGAGTTTTAATGAGGATTTGGGCCTGTCAAAGAATCATATAGAATCAGTATCCTCTCTTAGAGTAGTAGTAAGAGGTCATGTAGAATCTGTAACAAATTTAAGAGGTGAGAGCAGCCCTAGAGCACAAAGATGTAATTCCCCAGGCCTCTGAGACCCTCAGCCACCTTCCTCTGGAGTCCCGGGACCCAGTCTGCCTCCAGGTACTTTGTGCCACGTTCCTCTCCACACTGGCTCCAAAAGAACATGACCCAGTATCTCACAATCCCACCCTCCTCCCCAGGAGTTATCTCACTATTACACTGCAGCCACCAAGGATTTGCATAAATAGTTGTTAAGGAAAAGAAAAAAAAAAAGATAAAAGAATGGGAGTGATACAGAATTAAGAGGTTTCCAAAGATCAAAGAAAATTTGATCCATTATTGTATTGTTTCTTTTGACTTTGGAGTCTGAGGTTGTAGTCATTCCATTTCTTTGTAGATCTAGGGGAAAGATGCTCACTTCCCCTCCGAGGGATATCAAGTGGCAGCTGTCTCTTGGACTCTTCCCTGGGCCCCCCTATAAGCAGGTTTTCTAGGTCTGTGATGAAAAGTTTCGGCACACATGCATGCACAGGTGCACACACACATACACACTCCCACCCAGAACTCATCTATTCTACTCCCTTCATTCACATAGAAGAAAACTGAGACACGGATCATCAGAGACCCATCTATGCAGCCTTGGCAGAATCACGACAAGACTCACGTCTCCCAATCCCCATACCAGTGACATTCCATTCTGACACTCCGATAAATCATTCTTTCAAGTCCTCCATCTGAGTGCCAACAGCTGCTTTACTGCAACAACCTTTCCTATTAACAAACTCAAGTGGAATGGATTCAAGCCATTCAAGTTTCCCCCTCAGAACCCCAACAACTGAGGAAGACGACAGAGGTCAAAAGCGGGGGAGCAGCTAAGCTGAGTGATCAAGGTCTCTGTGCTTGTCTGTCTCTCTTTTCTCTCTTAACCTCCCCATAGTAAGACTTATTTGTGTTCATTTCAAGAGGCAGAAGTGCTATCATCCCCAACCCCTGAGCTCCCCAACTAGGCTCAGTTGGCAAATGGACTGCTTCCACCCATGCACAGAACACAGCTTGATCTTTAAGCTGCAGAGGTGGTTTGAAGAGCTCTGATACTTCTTTGGTAGATACTTGTACATATAATTAAAATTAGTATCTCTAGAAACAAAACTAATCTTATCAAATTAATACATTTTAAAACACCAAAACTTGGTTAAGAAGTGTCTTTAATAATCAACCTCACAGGTCAATAAAGGAGCTATAAATACATAATTTACTATCACCTGACAGTTGTGAAACCTGCGTGGTTTTAAAGAAATGTTTACTGTTAACAGTTGCTTATTCCTGGCTCTACAGGGAAACAGTTATAGATCTAAAAAGAACTAATCAATTATAACCAAAGATTTGGTGTAGGTATAGGTAGGGAATGCTAGAGAAGTGAGGAAACAGAGGACTGGCTAGTCCATAAAATAACTACGTAAAATCAAACTTACTCCTCCAACTCCTTGGATACTTTCTTCCTCTTTTGGATGAGAAGAGCCGGGTTGAGTATGCTGGCTAACAATGAATGTGTTTCACATCCTCCTGGGACTCAGAATAAATTCTTGGAAAAAGGAATTCACACCATGACTTAAGTCCCTTTTCTATTCCTCATCCTCACCTCAAGAAACTAGAAACCTTCATGATTAGTCTATTGAGTTCATTAGAGCTAAAGTCTTCCACTCAAAAGCATTAAATTAGGTCAAGGGTACAAGACAAGAAGCCCAGTTTCTAATCTCTTTGGAGCACCACACTTTACTCTGCTAGATAAGAATAACTTAAGCCACAAACAAGGATCAGAAAACTGGATTCAGGGGTGCCTGGGTGGCTCAGTCCATTAAAAGTCTGCCTCTGACTCAGGTCATGATCTCAGGGCCCTGGGATTGAGCCCCTCTTCGGGCTCCCTGCCCAGCGGGAAGTCTGTTTCTCCCTCCACCTGCCGCTCCCCGCCTTGTGCTCTCTCTTTATCTAATAAATAAATAAAATCTTAAAAAAGAAAACTGGATTCAGATTTTTAAGGTAAACCTAACTAGTAAAAAAGTTAATACAATGGACTAGGAAAGGCGGAGGTCTGGCAATATGGTAACTGGGTCAGAGAGAGGGTTTAACTTAAAATCAGAAATATGACTTAAAAGATTAGATGTGGTTTACACCCCAACAATATAACCCATTCTCAGGTATTCAGGTTAATAGGAAATGTACAGATTCAAGACTGAAAGCTGCTACATTACCCCGTTTTAGGCACAGATCTAAACATAGCTGAATGGGGATAAAATTCCCTCCATGTAAGAACTTAGGTAAAAATGCTGTTTATCAGAGTAAAAGCATGTTAAACTGCTTGCTGCTCGAAGGTGGAAGTAACAGCAACCATCTCCCTATGCAGGTAAGAACCAGTGTGCGCAGCCTTCTGGAACTTAGCCCACATACAAGAAGAGGAGCTTCTATCAAGATCAATCTGAGAAATGTATACTAGAGGTTCAACCACTAGCTGGATGACCTCGGGAAGGGTACTTAAGTTAGAGTTTTAGTTTCTTATTTATAAAAATTATTTATAGAAATTATTTTACCTATCTCATGGGGTCACTGTAAGTATTAGATGAGATCATTTATAAAGAGTACCTAACCCACAACTCTTTACTGAGGATGTTTTGTTGTTATTCTCTGTAAAGACAATCCAAGTTGTTAACACTACAGCAGAAGACGGGGTTAATCTTTTAAGGTTTTCTTGTTGGTTTTGTTTTAATCAAAGAACTGTCATGATAAAGAACCTGACCAAAGTTATTTATTATAAAATTGAATGTTATACTTATTATGAACCTAAAGCTGCTCATTGGATTGTATAAATATGAGTACAAAGTATTAAAAATATGTGTCTTTCTTTGTTTTTATATGGCAAAATTTTCTGTGTGCTCTTCTTTGGAAAGGGTATTCCCATCAGTTATAAACTGCTGCTCCAAATGTGATAATTTAGATCAAGGTCATTACCAACCCAGATGACCAAACCTGAAAAATACTGTTCTCACGTCAGAGACCTTGAAGAAAGAATGCTCTAATGGGATTAAAATACCTTGCAAAGAATTACAACATGAACAGCTCAAGAAATCTTAATTTGTAAAAGGTCACAGAGTTACAAAAAACATCGCTCATTTCAGCTAATTAAATGAAATTTTAGTTAAACGGCACCTTTAAATATTGGTATTGCAGCTGCGAGTGCATTTAAATAGCATTTACGCAGATATAATTAGCACAATTAAACATGGGTAGAAGTGGAAACACCATTCTTAATTATATTGATATAATCAGTTTTATTAATGCTTTATAGCAACAAAAGTGACATCTGACAGTAGCACACAATTCATGACTGAACCTAATATTAAGCATTTTAGCATATTAAGGAGTCTAAAGCTAGGTAATTGGGGAAAGAAAGAAGTCAAACAATGCGTGCCTACCTGTGACGATCCCATAGTTGGGAGGTTCGAGAATTACTCCATAAAACTGGATGATGTTTCTGTGACTGAGCACACTGAGTATTTCTGCCTGAACGAAAATCAAATACAAATTTACGTAAGATTTCACATTTATAAAAGTGTCATAAAATAGGTTTCGCATTCAGTTTCCTTTTACATACATTTACAAAGATAGATATGTGCTCAACAAGTATGTGATACTGACAGAACTGTCTTTAGTAGCCTTCTTAAAAGTTTAAGAATTTCGATTGAAGCTTTCTGACAATTTAAAAAGGAAATGGGGGGCGCCTGGGTGGCTCAGTCGTTAGGCGTCTGCCTTCGGCTCAAGCCCTGGTCCCAGGGTCCTGGGATCGAGCCCCGCATCAGGCTCCCTGCTCCGTGGGAAGCCTGCTTCTCCCTCTCCCACTCCCCCTGCTTGTGTTCCCTCTCTGTCTCTGTCAAATAAATAAAATCTTTAAAAAGAAATAAAAAAAATAAAAAATAAAAAGGAAATGGGATTGAAGGTGCAGTAGAGGTGCGTCCTAGCAAGCCAGCACGACAGGAAGTGAGGAGGGTGGTGGCAAGGAGAGAGGCCGTATCTGTTTACAGAAAAGCCCTCTTCCTAATAGTTGAATATGTTTTTTCTGCATCATGTCTCTTGCGGGAGACTCAAGACTGAACTTCTACCAGTTGGATGAATAGTCATGACAAAATTAATGGAGGATTTCTTAACTATTACTGAAACAGGTTCAGGTAATACCCATTTATATTATTTATCTAATCATTCAAAATATATCCTTGCTCTTGTACTGTATGCAGCAAAGTGGTGGGTTCCTGCCCTTCAGTAGTGATTTGGGAAGTAGGGGAGCCATACTTTACATCTGAAATTTATTAAATACCAGAACACTGTATTGCAGAATGACATCATAAAAAACTATTAATTTTTTAAATGACAAAAAGAGATACTGCAGTGTGTATCTGCTAATGTCTATACGAAGGGTATTCTCTAAATTAACTAAGTCATACATACTTGTTACTTCTGTGGAGATAAAATATGGCTAATCAGGAATTATAAATACAATTAGATACAAAATCACTTAGGTGCAAAAAAAACATTTGTTTTTAAATGAAAAGCATGTTATTGGCAGTAAACAAATAGGAAATTTATAATTCCTATTCCAGAAAGGGTATTCAGAAGGTAAGCAAATAAGGAAAAATGGAACAGGGTTTGGTTCGAAAGGGGACTCCCCTTTGGGAATCTGCTCAATGTAAATTAGTATTATTTGTTACAAATTTTTTGTCACAGGATAAGAATTGAGATTTCATTAAAAACACTGTGAAATTTGTTTTTAAGGTGGTATAACTAAGTACAAAAACAGAAGTTTAAGGGTTGGCATGGGGTCAGTATGGAATCAAGAGAAAGGAAAATCATCATTGACTGGATGAGACATTTATCAAAGCTTCTTTGCTAGTGTTCTTCTTTTAGTGATGCAGGTGCTGAAGGGGGCTATCAAAACACTTCTTTCACACTTCCTGAGTGCCTACTGTGTGCAGAGGTTCTGTGTTCATCAAACAACCTTCTTCCCATAGTTTAGTTTTCCAAGTAAAAAGAAAATGCATTCATTGAGCAAGACAATTATTCATCAGTATGGCAATTCTATTCTTATTAAGAAATAATAAATGAACTTTGTTCTTAAAACAGAGCTCAGGTGAGGGACACCTGGGTGGCTCAGTTGGTTAAGCATCTGCCTTCAGCTAGGGTCATGATCCTGGGGGTCCTGGGATCGAGCCCTGAGTAGGGCTCCCTGCCCAGCGGGGAGTCTGCTTCTCCCTCTGCCTCCCACTCCTCTCATGCTCTCTCCCCTCCGCCCAATAAATCAATAAAATCTTAAAAACAAAAGAGAGTTCATGTGAAGTTTGGAAAACATAAGCCCCCCTATTTTCAAAGCAGATCAACTCTTTGTGAGTAGAGCATTAGAATTCAATGCAATAAAGCACTAATGTTTGGACCAGTATTTATCAAAATAGGGGAGTGTTAACCTTTGGTATGTTTTGGTGTATTCTTTGGGGTATCTAAATTCTGTGACCATTAAAAATGTTTAAATCAAGGGGTGCCCAGGCTGGCTCAGTCGATAGAGCATGTGACTCCTGATCTCAGGGTTGTAAGTTCGAGCCCCATGTTGGGGCAGAACTTACTTTAAAAACAAAACAAAACAAAAGAAAGAATATTCTAAATCTTTGGATGACCATTTTATAATTCAGCACCACATGGGATTTTCAATGTTCCAGCTAATTTTCATGTTTACATTTAAGATATTGCCAAGTGATGCCTTGGAGAGACAAAATTTATCTTTCAAGTGCTGGTAAACATATGCAGATGTTAAAATAACAACCATTATTTTGTGTCCCATTGTTATGCTCATTTAAATTTTTTTACAGTTAGCAAAAACTAAATTCTTGCGGTATAATTTGTAAGTAAAAGACATTTTCGCAGAATAAGACTTTGTTCTAATTTAACAAAGATTTTGATTTAACATTATAAAAACAACATACTACTTTAGAGTGCTATACTGGTTCCATGGAAATGGTCTTACAATAAGCAGAGAGAGCTAAATAAATAAGTGATATTTGTAATAAAGGAAGATCAAGTAATGTCTTGATGTGACCAACTGAAGCAACTCCAATAGAAATAACTGTGGGATTAACCAAGTGACTAAAATCTGTGCTGTAGCAATCAGTATCTGACAGCAAGCAGATGTATTCTGTAGATTTGCCTTTATAGGCACCTGCCTGCCAACAGTTCGTTAATGCAACTGTTATAGTAACAAAAAGCTTTTCTTTAAATTGTTTTCCAGATTTATGTTTTGGAATACTCTAGCAAACAGACTGCCCGTCAAAATAATGGATTAGTGGTTTAAGAAGTTCACTGTTATTAAGGAAACATACTAATGATGAAGGTTAAATATAATGGTCCATTGTACCAAAAAAAATTTTTTTACACTATCAACATCAACAAAAGCCATTTATTTTCAGTAAATGTAATTTGATGAAAATTGTTCATTTTAGTTATGTTGACTTTATACTTTTATTTTTACTTAAGTGAAAAACTGGTTTTGATTTTACAAGCGCTATAAGCATGACTTCTGGGGTGCCTGGCTGGCTCAGTCAGTAAAGCATGGGACTCTTGATCTCAGGGTTGTGAGTTTTGTCTCATGTTGGGCATAGGGATTACTTAAAAATAAAATCTTTAAAAAAAAAAGCATAAGTAGTTCTTAGTTTTATGCTGTGTATACTTAAGTTACACTGAAATAATAATTTTAATCAACAGATGACTTAATATTTCTATATATTTCTCAGTTTGCAAAATGCCATTCAGGAACTCAAACAGAGATATGTATGCCAGTGTTCACTGAAGCATTATTCACAATAACCAAAAGGCAGAAGTAAGCTGAGCTGGGCAGAGAAACAAAATGTGATATGTAAATACAATGGAATATTAATTTAGCTATAAAAAGGCATTAATTTTTAAGTTCTGATACGTTACAATACAGATCAACCTTGAAAACTTCACGCTAAGTGAATAAGCCAGACACAAAATGACAAATATCACATGACCCTTCTTTTATAACATACCTTGAATTGTCAAATTCAGAGATAAAGAATGCAGGTTAGAGGTTACACCAGTGCTGGAGGAGGAGGAAATGGGGAGCTGCTGCTTAATGTGCAGAGTCTCTGTTTGGAGTGACGAAAAAAATTTGGAAATAGATTGTAGCAATGGTTGTACAACACTGTGAATGCAATTAATGCCACCAAATTGTACACTTAAATATGGTTAAAATGGCAAATTTCATGCTATATATATTTTACCACAATAAAAAATGTTTAAAAAATGCAGTCAGAATGGCTATAATTAACAAGTCAGGAAACGACAAGTGTTAGCAAGGACGCGGAGAAAGGGGAACCCTCCTACACTGTTGGTGGGAATGCAAGCTGGGGCAGCCACTCTGGAAAACAGTATGGAGGTTCCACAAAATGTTGAAAATAGAGCTACCCTACGATCCAGCAATTGCACTACCGGGTATTTACCCCAAAGATACAAATGTAGTGATCAGGAGAGGCACCTGCACCCCAATGTTTATAGCAACAATGTCCACAATACCAAACTGTGGAAAGAGCCCAGATGTCCATCGACAGATGAATGGATAAAGAAGATGTGGTATCTATATACAGTGGAATACTACTCAGCCATCAGAAAGAAAAAGAAATCTTGCAATTTTTAACGACGTGGATGGAACTAGAGGGTATTATACTAAGTGAAGTCAATCAGAGAAAGAATTATATGATTTCAGTCATATGTGGAATTTAAGAAACAAAACAGAGGAGCATAGAAGAAGTGGGGGGGGGGAATGAAAGATGAAATCAGAGAGGGAGAAAAACCAGAAGAGACTCTTAACCATAGGAAACAGAATGAGGGTTGCTAGAGGGGAGGGGGCTGGGGGGATGGGGTACCGGGGTGATAGGCATTAAGGAGGGCACATGATGTAATGAGCACTGGGTGTTATATGCAACTGAGGAATCACTGAACTCTACTACCTCTCAAACTAATACACTATATGTTAATTAACTGAATTTAAATAAAATTAAATTTAAAAAATAAAATAGAGCTCTCAAGAAAATAAAAAATGCTATTCTAGACTTGTATAGAGATGATCATATTCTTTCCCTATATATTTATATACATATATGTGTACACATACATACATACACCATAATAATCATCTCAAAGTTACAGAACTCAAGGTCTAAATATCCTTGGGTAAATAAGTACTTTTCCAGATTAGGATTTAAGGAAGTAAGGAAAGTCTGTGACAGACTACAACAATTTTAACTCTGGCTCAGAGACTCTCCATAAAGGGTCCCAATCTGATATAGAAGAGAAGTTCCCACAGTCTATCCATAAAAATGACCTCATCAGAGTACAAAAAAGTCTCCACAGATACAAGACACGTGACTGCTCCTACTTCCAGCGGGCTGGTTCCTTCCTCTCTCCCCTCCCCTCCCTTCCTACTTCTTTTCTTCTTTCTTTATAAG